TGTAGAAAAGTGGGGCAGGACGGACCCCCCCACACTCCTTTCCATTCAGAATGACAGTTAGGACTTTGAGGTCACCACAATAGCATGGGCACAAACTGGCAGTATCAACAAAGAATTTCGCGATTACCCTGTCCACAAAATAGAAGACTGTTTCAATGCTATCACTGCTGGATAATGCTTGCGGCTGACAAATGCAGGTTGATCTCCATTTCTCCCAAGAGTTCTAGACTGAAGGGGGGTGTCCCTAATTTCCCCCTTCCAGTACCATTGTGCATCAACTTCTGCCTAAAACAAAATCAGTTCAAGAAAAAGAGTTAGGTCGCTTCTACAGGCTTGGCCAAGAACACAGAACATCGAACTCACCGAGTGGGAAACAAGGCTGCGACTCAGGTCTCAGTAGGTTGGAGGCCATTGCTATGCAGCTCTAGCTCCTAGTAGCGATGCCCTTTGCTACTAGTAGCTTCTTGTTCCTAGTAGTAAGAAAGCTCCTAGTAGCAATGCCAGGAGCCCCTAGTAGCGTCCTTGTTCCTAGTAGTGAGGCACTTGTTACTAGAAGGGATGCACTTGTTCCTAGTAGCGTCCTAGGTCTTAATAGGTCTCAAGTGCCCATCTGTGCGGTCGAGGAGCTGCCATCAATGGGCACACGCTCCAAATAGATGCCAGTGAGATGGCTTCTGGGCGACACCGCGAGGAAAGAGGGGACGGACTGGTGCAACGAAGTCAATGCGCCAAGGCCATTCAACAAGAAGCTACTAGGAGCAAGGACGCTACTAGGGGCTCCTGGCCTTACTACTAGGAACAAGAAGCTACTAGGGGCTCCTGGCATCGCTACTAGGAGCATTCTTACTACTAGGAACAAAAAGCTACTAGTAGCAACGGGCATCGCTACTAGGAGCTATAGCTGCATAGCTGAATGCCTCCTACACACGTGTTGTCAGTACCCAGAGTGCGAGAGTTGATGATTTGGTCTGCCAGAAATGAAGCTTTGTCATGCCCGAAACGAAACTAATCCACCAGGCCACCAGGGTAGTTTCTCCGACATAGTGCCCCGTTGAGCGTGGCAATGAGCCATCCAATACCAAGCCCGATTGCACTTAACGTGTTGACTCAACGAGCATCCAAAGGACATTGAAGACACAACAAGCATGCGCAGTTGCTAGCTCAAACCTGATTGGTGTTGTGATGTTTGTCGCATAATGCTGGAGCATCTTCGTTGTGGTTTTGGATTTGGAGGGTTCAGCCAAAAAGCTTCCCATGACTCCTGGTTTCGCTGGGGGTAACTGGGCCCGGCACCCTTCAAACTGCAAGCCAGAGATTTGACTGCCAATGGGCCTCAGGAAAGTCTCAGGCGTTTCAAACACCGCTAGTAGGTTAGAGGCCATCGCTACGAACGTAACAAGAAGCTGCTTGCACTATCTCTTCATTCAGGAATCCCGGCGCCATCAAGCGCGTGCGGTGCGTGGCATCGTGGCCCTGAAGCGCGATGATCTGACACCTGGGGAGGATGTCGCGTGGGGCTGCTGTTGACGTCCGGGCGGTGGGGGTGGGGTTTTCGGAGGCGCCTCTCATTCGAGGTGGAAAAGGATCGGCTGCAAAGGAAAGTGAACAAATCGATTCAGGGAGGGTACTGGATAGGTGGACCATCAGTCCCAGGAAATGAAAGAAGTGAAGTTTCTCGGTCTCTGTACTATGCTGGATTGCTTGGGATTGCCAAAGAACCATGCAGTGTAACTGACACCTATACGACAATGGCTTGTCATGGCTCCCAAATGATTCCAGCCTAGACTTAAACCACTAGGGTGTATAACCAAGGCGATGGCTGCATATGATGACGTCTATCAGTTGTGAACTCATAGCTAACATCGGTGTATGCTGCCCATACGATGCCTGCCCTCATGCAAGCTGCCACATGCAGGCCACACAGCTTGTCTGGGGCACGCACTCTGAGGTGTAAAACACAAGGCTGTTCCCCACAAACCTCACAGATTCGCACGGATTCACCGGCACGAGTTTCATCGGCAGGCCCCGGACGTACGATGGATGTGTCAAACATGTGACGCTTTCGCCACACTGTCACCTTATGTCACAAAGGTGTGGCCGAATCCATCCTAAGTTCTACCCTTTTCAGAGACCTGAGAGCAAATCGAGATGGCTTTACCAAGGCTCTGAGCATCTCTGAGCATTTCAGTGCATTTCATGGGATTCATGGCATTCCTTTCCGCGTGATTTTGCTCCGAGGGTCTCAGTCGGGTCGAGCTTCGGTCTCCGACAGCAGAAGCACCCCTGTCCCGCTGGGCCATCCGAGCGAGTCGCGCTGCTCCTGTGCCACCGCGAGGATCACCTCGTCGTGGTGCAAGCGCCAATTCTTGTGCTGAAAGCCGCCTCGTCCGGACGGGTCGGCCGACGAGGCGGCTCCGAGTGGCTCCGAGCGGCTTCTCGCGGCTCAGCGACGAAGGTGGAAACACCGATGAATCGAAAAACGGCTCCCTTGGGTCACCCTTAGCTTCTTGTTCCTAGTAGCGTACTTGCTCCTAGTACGGCCAGGAGCCCCTAGTTGGCTCCTCGCTGAATCGGATTGCGTCGGCCTTGATTGCCGTAGAAGTTCTTCTTGCCACAGCGAAGCCTCGAAACTGCCCCATGGGGCGGGGCCCGCCGCCTTCACTTTGACCCAAAGATGTCTCGAACCAAACCGAACGAAACCACCTCCAAACTAGAGGTTACCAGCTTGCAGACTAGATGAACAAGTGGTAGTTATCCCCCCAAAAGTGGCGGTGAACGCAAACAACCCCAAATTTGCAGGGCTGCAAGGCCTAACCTTCCAGGACCAGCATACTAGCTTTCGCAGGTGTTTCAACCATAGCTTCAGTCTTACACATCTCTCGGTGCAAGAATTGCACACGGGGAACTCCTCTTGGCATATATCACAGTGGTCGAAAGACCTTAAGCCTTAAGCATGCTCCATAGGTTTGTGTCATTTGTAGCAATGTGTATTCAAGGCAAAATAGCGTAGCTGCATGGAGGCCATCGCTGGTATATAGGTTGGAGGCCATGGATGGTATATAGGTTGGAGGCCATCACTAGTAGGTTCCTTTTGCTATTAGGTTGTTGAGCCAGGAGTCCCTAGTAGCTTCTTCTTCCTAGTAGTAAGGCCAGGAGCCCCGGCGTCCTTTGCTCCTAGTAGCGATGCCAGGAGACCCTAGTAGCTTCTTATTCCTAGTAAGGCCAGGAGCCCCTAGTAGCGTCCTTGCTCCTAGTAGCGAT